CCTTCGGATTCTTCTTCAGTCTCACCGTCTGCGTCGCTACCGTTGTGACTGCGGGGGGATGTTGAGTATCGTGATTATTAGGAAAGCTAGGATAATGTAGGATATTATTCTACCTTGCCTTATACTCCAAGATGATCATGTACTCCTATATATATATGCCCACGAGGCTCAAGCAATACAACAACAATTCCACCAAATCCCTCTCTCCCTTCTAACACTTTTCACAGACGCACTCGGACGCGTCTGCGGACGTATAGAGGGGCGGATTAGCTAGGTCGGGATGTAGATGCTCTAACGTGGAGTAGGCAAGGATGAGTGGATCGAATCAGTTGGCTGTAGCCTGAACTTTTCCCCTCTACTGTTCTTCTTTACTCCCAAAACTTCTGTGTTTGTACTCTCATATGATACTGAATCCCTTCACCAAATTCGCTTGGTGTGACACCATCGAATTAAGGTTGTGACAAGCTCGTTCCTATATCCTTCAAATTCGGTGTGACACACAAACCTCAAGGCCGGACGTACAGTCATACACAACCACAACACTCGAAATGTCTGTCACCGCGACAAGGATTATTGACCGATCATGTGCCCGTTAGTTGATTCTCAGTCATGCTTGCTGGCGATCCCGAGCAGAACATCGCAGAGCTCCCTGGGCTTGGAGAACATGGCCATGTGGTCGGCTCCGGCGATCTCCACGGCCTCCGTGCCGGGGCTCAGGTCGACCATCCAGCGCTGCATGTCCTCGGAGAAAGCAGCGTCCTCCATGGCCACCACGTACACCTTCTTCACCGACCCGTAGTTGGCGTCGGTGAGCAGCGTCTCGTCCTTCACCATCGCGTCGTCCCCGAACTGGCGGCCGGGCCTCACCAGCATCGTGGCCAGCGTCAGGTCCTGCGTGCGTGCCGGCCAGAAAACCAGTGTCAGCATCGTAGTACAAGGCTTGAACATCTTGGACAAAAAGGGTTGTCTTCTTGTTACCTCAACTGGGCTTCGACCGTACAGTTTTGCTGCCAACAATTTGGGGCCAAACACGAGTGCAGCTCGAGGGCCCTCGCTCGTCTCCAGAACCATCCTCTCGCTGTCCATGAAAAAATCCGGCGTGGTTCTTCTGGAGAACTGGGAAGAGGAGTCACCAGAGATTAGCCAGGTATCGATTGCTGTCCATGAAAAAACTTGAGGTTTGCTTACCTCCTCCATGGTGACGCCCATGTGCCGGCCGACGCACGGCATGCACGCGTCGAGGAACACGGCCGCGGCGACCTTGCGCGGGAGCCTCTCCATGGCGAGCGCGATGTTGAGCCCGCCGAGGCTGTGCCCGACCAGGACCAGCCTCTCGCCGGCCGGCGCCGCGGCCACGGCGTCGAGCAGCGGCCGCGAGTAGTCCTCGAAGGACGGCACCTCGTCCATGCGCGCCGGGTGCACGCCCGACGCCGCCATGTCCAGCGCGGTGACGCGGTGCCCCGCGGCGCGCAGCATCGGCACCAGCTTGTACCAGCACCACGCGCCGTGGCCGAGGCCGTGGACGAGGATGAAGTGGTCGCCGCCGCCGCCGCCGCTCCCCTCCATCGGATCTCACCTCCGATGAGACGAGAGAGACCGCTACGTTGCCGGCGCTGTGCGGCTCGTGGCTGCAGCTTCGTGTACTAGTATCTCACTGGCACGGGCACGTGCCAATAGTGGTTTCGTGTCATGCCAACCTGAGTGAAGCGTCGTCTTTCCAGTATAAGTCAAAGCAGGTTTAAGTGGACAGCAGTGAGTAGTGGACATCAGTGGTCAGTCCCGCACATGTCCACCTCACAATTTTGTTCATATCGCTTGAAAAATACCGAGTATTTTCGTTTTAAAGATTGACACATGATAATGCAGTTGTCTTCTTGTGATGTTCTGCTGAAGGATATTCTGAAAAAATATGTCAAACATGTGTGTTTCAGAATTTGAGGTATTTTCAACCAACTGCAAAAAATATGAATGTGTAACTTTATCCGTCGTTTTTTCTTTTCAAACCGCGGCAAGCGATCTGTCTTGCCAATTAAATCTATTGTCAACAAACTGAAGGGAAAACTTAAAAAAAAAAGACTACAAAAAAATGAAGATTGCAACCGAATACCAAAAACACCACTCACTCGACATATTTCCACGTCGAGACAGAGTCGCCACACACCACCAAGAAAAAGCTCCATGGAGCTGTCCACATGTGCCATCACTATTATGTGTCCACCACAAGCCCACGGAATCCAAGCCAACCACACGCAACAAGGCGACTTTATGCAAGGAGGAAGATCACTAAAAAGGTCCAGTGTGTTTTATAAATTTAAAACTCATTTATGTAAAAGTGTCATTCATTTGTATCGACTACTACAAGGTTCAAACTATCCGAAATAAGGTTCGATTGGTTTGGTTTCAACATACTAGATGTTGGATATCGGGTGATATATGATAGGATATAAAACATATTTGGATTCTTTTCATTACTCTTGATAAAAAAACATATCCTGTTGTTTAGTTAAAAGCATGCATCATGTCAATGCTCCATCATAAAAAATGGATTTCTTGTTCATTAATAAACTTATTTAAAAAGATGCAGATAATTCTTACTCTTAGACTAAAGTAATGAGAACTGCTACAGTACAAATATAGAATGTTCCCACTTTCGTATGTATGTATGGTGCCTTTCCCATTAAATCTATTGTCAACTAACTGAAGGAAAAACTTAGGAGAAAAACTACAAGAAAATGAAGATTGCAACCGAACACCAAACACACCACTCACTCACATATTTTCATGGCAAGACAGAGTAGACACACATCACCAAGAAAAAACTCCATGTAGTTGTCCACATGTGCCATCACTATTATGTGTCTACCACAAGTCCACGGAATCCAAGCCGCAATAAGGCTACTTTATGCATGGAGGAAGATCACTAAAAAGATCCTGTGTGTATTATAAATTTAAAACTCATTTGTGTAAAAGTGTCATTCATTTGTACCGACTACTATAAGGTTCAAACTATCCGAAATAAGGTTCGTATCGGTTTGGTTTCAACATACTAGATGTTGGATATCGGGTGATATATGATAGGATATACAACATATCTAGATTCTTTTCATTACTCTTGATAAAAAACATATCCTATTGTTTAGTTAAAAACATGCATCACGTCAATGGTCCATCATAAAAAAATGGATTTAAAGATTATTAATTCGTTAATTAATAAACTATTTTTAAAAGATGCAGAAAATTCATACTCTTAGACTAAAATCATGAGAACCGCTACAGTACAAATATAGACTGTTCCCACTTTTGTATGTATGGTGTCTTGCCCATTAAATCTATTGTCAACTAAGTGAAGGGAAAACTTAGAAGAAAAACTACAGGAAAATGAAGATTGCAACCGAACATCAAAAACACCACTCACTTGATATATTTCCATGGCAAGACAGAGTAGACACACACCACCAAGAAAAAACTCCATGGAGCTGTCCACATGTGCCATCACTATTATGTGTCTACCACAAGCCCACGGAATCTAAGCCAGCCAAACGCAACAAGGCGACTTTATGCAAGGAGGAAGATCACTAAAAAGGTCCGGTGTGTTTTATATTTAAAACTCATTTATGTAAAGTTCTCATTCATTTTGTACAGACTACTACAAGGTTCAAAATATCGGAGATAAGGTTCATATTGGTTTGGTTTCAACATTCTGGATGTTGGATATCGGGTGATATATCATAGGATATAAAACATATCTGGATTCTTTTCATTACTCTTGATACAGAATATATCCTATTGTTTAGTTTAAAACATGCATCATGCCAATGCTCCATCATAAATAAAAGATTTAAAGATTATTAACTTGTTAATTAATAAACTATTTAAAAAGATGCAGAAATTTTTTACTCTTAGATTAAAATCATGAGTCCCGCTTCTGTACAAATATAGACTTTTCCCACTTTCCTATGTATGGTGTCTTGCACATTAAATCGATTGTCACCCAAAGGGAAAACTTAAAAGAAAAGCTACAAAAAAATGAAGATTGCAACCAAATACCAAAGACACCACTAACTCGACATATTTTCATGGCAAGACAGAGTCGACACACACCACCAAGAAAAAGCTCCATGGAGCTGTCCACATGTGACATCAATATTACAGCTACTACAAGCCCATGCTAATCCAAGCCAGCCACACGCAACAAGACAACTTTATATCAGCTAGTTAGCATACATGTGCAACGTACGTTTTGACTAATATTACAAACATATTTGAGTGCTCAAATCCACAAAGAAAGATACAATGATAGCAATAAAATAATATCACAAATGAGTGATGAATGTTAGAATTCAGCATAGTGCATATCTATTAGCGACGTCTCTCTTCGACATTTGTTTGGTCATGACAATTGGGTCACAAATAATGATGGAGAAAACATGCACTCATGCAACTTTCCATTACTCTTGTTAAAAACATATTCTTTTAGTTTCCTTGGAGTACTGCAAGGGTCAAAAATTGGATATTAGATTCACGCCGGTTTGGTTTCGACATATTGGATGTCGGATATAGGGTGATATATCAAATGGTATGTAGTTATATCAGAGAAAACATATCCCTTTTTCCGTTACTCTTGTTAAAAGCACACCCTTTTAGTTAAAAAAATGCATCATGCCAATGCTCCATCATAAAAAAAAGATTTCAACTTTATTAACTTGTTAATAATTAATAAACTATTTAAGAAAGATCCACTGAATTCTTAATCTTCGATTTAAAACCAATACATCATATATGTGTTTATAAAAAACATGATGCATAACTTTTGGTACTATGATAAAGTTGTAAATGATAATCTTATTTTCGCATCTACTAAAAAAATAATAATTGACAATTACTTGTCGGACTATATCAACGGACATCTGGTCAAATATCGGCCATATTGGTCAATATTACTTTCTACAACTAACGGTGTGTGTGAAAATGATGTATTATATCTATATTGGTAGACCTCATAAATGATATATCGATTGTTATATCTGTCTTATTGGAATGGACCTAGAAGCTTTGACTAATGTTTTCATTGATGAATATCAAATATAACATGAACTTCAATTTGGGAGGAAATTTCACCTTAATCACATGTCATCGAAGCAAAAAGGTAGTACCGTGCACTCTTGGACATAAAGACTCTTACCGACTCACAATCCATCATGGGTTAGAGCATCTACAATTGGACCCCTCAAATCACCCCTATACGCCCGAGCGGACAGTCCAATCATAGAAACCCGACCCAGCTGCATACCTAAAACCACTCCTATACGTATGGTTTGTCCGACACCCCACAAACCCAACCCATATTTGGAGCGGATGTGGGGAGGCCATGGTGTGCCCGGGCACGTCCACCTCGTTGTTGGATCTGGCCCAGGCACGACCACGTGCTACTCCACTGCAATGCTGGTCCGGTCCGCTCTGCTCCGATCCGATCACATCTCATCTTGGATCTTCAGTCTTGTCCGGCATGGCGTGCAATGAAATCCGAGTCCAACAACTCTGGATCCGTCGTCTGGGACCTCGTCACGTGCGGGGATGAGGATGAGTTTGTCGTCCACCTAGCTCTCCGCTTGTTCCGGGAGGAAACCCATGTAGCGTGTCCTTGTCCCGACGACGTCCGACTTCGAGTACAAAGTCAACGACGACAATGTGCACCGCCTCGGATGCGTCGGATGCCCTAGGTGCAGCGGCCGGACTGCGACAACCATCAGCGTGCCCGCCATATGGAGGAGGAGAAGGACAGTGCCATATCCGAACCCTACAACTCTGGGAGCGAGCAAATCCTCCTTGACTCATACTCATCTTCGAGCGCTACAGAGTGCTGTGTGCCTTAGTGCAACTAACATACCATTTACTCACAATGACATGTGTGATGAACTATTCGTATGCTACGTGTGTTTTCCAGATTAACTAAATGTGTTGATTTACGTTGCATGAGAACGTATGGACTTAATGATTTTATCTGAGGGGTGAACCTACCTGTGTGCAAAGAAAAGACTCTTTTTTTTCATCATCAAAAAAGAAAAGAGAGGACAATGGTTAGTGGGCAGGCGGTCCTATTTGGTCCAGTCATTTTTTTTTCAGAAACTCCTATTCAATAGCCTGGCCCTATTTCGAACTTCGCTGGCCCAGTACAATAACCAGTCCGGCCCAATGAGCCCAACAAGCCGAGGTTATCCTGCCTCCCGAAACCCTAGCCGACGGACCCCCTTATATACCGCACGCCCCCGTTTTCCTTTCATCCGCCTCCAGATCCCAGGTTTGTGCGCCAAATCGCCGGCTAGTTCGCCGGCGTTTCTCTGATCTGAAATCTTCCGTTTTTCCTCTCTTGTCTGGGTTTTGCTTCATGCTTGATCTGTTCCTAGGCTGTGATGATCAAAATACCTACCTATTTTCTGAGGGATCTCGATCCCCCTGCAGAGAAACCAATTATTTCTTCTGAGCCTTCCAAGATCTGCGCAGTTTCTTCTACGTTTCACTTTCTTGATTTTTGCGTTCGATCTGATTTTGCAGCGTATTCTGGAAAA